CTATGATCGATAGCTTTGTACACTGGGAGGTATGGACTATGATCGATAGCTTGGTACACTGGGAGGTATGGACTATGATCGATAGCTTGGTACACTGGAGGTATGGACTATGATCGATAGCTTGGTACACTGGAGGTATGGACTATGATCGATAGCTTGGTACACTGGGAGGTATGGGCTACCATTGATGGTTCATGCACACTAGAGTTATGCAACGTCATTGATGTGTGTGCTACAGAAAGATTCCAGCTCATATATAAAAAGGTGTACTTTTCCTTTGCAGCAGAACGTTACTCAAATTGTTCCCCTATACAGTCCTGGCCCATAATTTAAACACATTCTAAAAAAAAAAAACTTACCTTTTCTGAAGAAAACAAGCCTCAGAGACCATGCCAGTGCCTGTCACATACCTAAATGCCAATACAGGAGTCACACGGTCTATGATGGAGAGCAGCATCACTGACAGGCTGGCTTTCCTTGATCATCAGTCTTTCAAGCTCCTCTGACATACCACATGACCAATGCTCTGACAACTGGCCAGAGAATTGGCGGCATCAAGAGCCCAGACCCCTATTCCAGAAGAAAAAGGTTTTTGACCATCTTATTGGCATAAAAGAACCAGGATAGCAGAACAGAAAAGAACTAGAAGTTGTGAATAGGTCCACCTAAAAGAGCTACATAATTAAAAAGGTTCTGCATTATCCTCCCGGTTCCCCTAATATTCGGTAAATCGTCTCCAGTATTCAGGGTTTATTAAGAAAACAAAAATTAGGCTCTGATCAGAAGCACAATCCAGAATGGAGAAACATCTATTTTCTTATACACAAAGTCGGGTGTTTCCCACAGCGTAACCTAGTGGACCGAGGCAGAACGCTGCCCTGCAAGGTAACTCGAGGACATTGCTACTAGAAGGCGTATGAGTCACTTTTCCAATGTAGATCAGCGGCTGGCTCACGGCTACGCAACAGTGTGGGGTCGCGATGAGGGGAAAACTGTGAACGACAGAGGGGGAACAAAACGCACAGAGAAATGAAAGAAAATCCAGGTGGGATTTAGATGAGTTATTCACGTACTCGCAAGGACAAAACTGAAAGTGCAAACGCATGCTGGCATAGCGGCATGCAACAGGCTCCAGACTTTAGGAGACAGGGAAGGAAACACCAATATATGTCTGGACTTGTCAACGGTTAACACCCAGGACGTCTACTGTAGATTAAATCAGCCAGGCAAAGCAAAAGGAAGAAATGATGAGTACGCTTTACGAAAAACTTTAAGAAGCTGGGAGATTAAATATCGGTGTCCCACGTGCTTGGCATACTCGGGGACCAAGGCGTACAAACGGACACCACAGTGACTAAATGGTAGGGTGGTGAAGCATAACAAAGCGGCAAGGGTAAGTCATGACAACGCATGACTAAGCCATGTGGAGAAATGCAACGTCATACAGAAAGCAAAAACTATTGTACAAGTTTGAACAAAGAAGAAAAAAAAAAACAGATATATAGGAAATTGTTGCATATCATCTATCTGGTAATAAGACCTCACTACCATTTTGTATCAGCCTACAACACTGGATAGTTAATGGATGAGCTTTGTATATTAGTGTCAATCGTGCCAAGCGGTGTAGATCCCGCAAAGCTTCACTTTAAATGAGTCAAGATGACATAAGCGAGACTGCGACATCAATCGCGAAGCAATTTCCTGCGTTTATTATTGCATTATAATTTGGAGAAGCCGGACCTCAAAAAAGGGGATAGACAGCCACAAGCAGCCATTACAGAAAACAAAATCTCTCCCGCTGCAGACTAGTAAGGTTTCCGCGTATTTAAGGATCCAGCCAGATCCTGATTACAATTCTGCCTAAGAAAAGCAGTCTAAAGAGGATACACAATAGAAGCAGTATGTGGCTTGCTGTGGGGGTGGGGTGTTTAAAACCCAGCTGGCAGCCATAGGATACGCTTGCCTATACTACACGTCAAGAATCATTCCCTGGGTGGGGGGTGGAAGGGAGGAGCGGGGGAGGGTGATGCACGTTCCCTTACAACCCCAAGCACAAAAGAGAAGCTTGGCTTGTAAGCCCACAGAAGGGCTGACTGCCCAAATTCATGAATGTCAGGACAGGGAGCAGGTACTAATAGGTGCAATAAAGGTTTGTTCCGGGTGAGAAAGAGTTAAGCAAGAGGAGGGAAAAGGCCTCTTTCACACACACACGCCTGTCCAAAGAAAGGCAATTTATTGCTTTGCTGGGAGTTAACAGATCACAAAAGATATGCAGATCAGTAGCAAGTACAGCCACGTCAGGGGAGCCATAATACAGCTCCATGACTTGTGTCCTACCTGCAAAACCACCGACCTAGGCAGGCTGCTTCAACACCAACCTTTCCTTGGATGATGAGAGTTATAGTCTATGAAATGCTAACTGCCACTATTACAGCATTTGCTGTGTAGCCATCAGAAAATTGTTCCAAACAAAAAGTTAGCCATCAGGAAAAACATTCAAGTCTTTGATGGCCTACGATCTACAACTCTACTGTAAGGCCTCATTCATACGAGAAAAGGCAGGCACATACAGCTCCGTGCATGGCCGTATCGAGCAGCTCACGGGAAGGATAGGTGCTGCGTGTGTCCTGGCTCGGCCGCAGACAAGATCCACCTTGTCAGCATACGAGTACGGACACCTGCACGGACATGCAGGGTGGGTGAGCGTAGGGCGGCGTACGGCTGTGTATTCCCATAGAGAAGGACAAGGGCTACGTACTAATCACTCGCAGCACCTGTCCTTCCCAGGAGCTGCCCGATACGGCCGAGCACGCAGCTGTATGTGCCGGCCTTTTCTCGTGTGAATGAGGCCTAAAAAGTTACCATCTACCATCTGCAAACCGAAGACCTTTACAGACTAACGAATGACATTCCAATAAACAGCTCATCCATTACACTCCGCCAGTATCTGCAACTCACATCTACGTGATGGCTAACAGTCTTATATACGGTTACCCTTACTAGATTGCAAGCTCTCACAAGCCCTCCTAACCCTATTGTATTGAAATTATATTGCAATTTCAGTTTGTAAAGTGCTTGGCAAACTGTTAGCGCTATATAAATCCTGTATTATAATAATAAATAATAAT